TCTCATAAAAAGACGACGAATTTGGCTGTGAGTATCAAATGTTTACCCTCAGGGTTGTCATGGAACTAAAATGAAAGAAAGCAAAAAGTGCAATCAAAATAGCCCATGTCTGCAGAGAGCCTGGAGCAATATCATGAAGGCACCAGTGTCTGGATTTCAATAGGGTATTAATTTCAAGCCCCGCTGCCACAGGAGATCAACATCAGCAGACAATTCTGGCTGTGATGGGAGGAGCGTGGGGAACCTGGCCATCAAGGCATACATGCTCTGCTTGGCAGAGCAATGCCCAGGCAGTTGCCAATATTCCTGGTGTGCTGGTGAGGGGCGCCTTGCAGTTGTCCCCATTGCTTTCATGGCAGGGGCCTCTCCCTTGCCTCAGCTGTGTCAAGGACAAGTGGGATCAAGCCTGACTTCATCTGATGGCCATGTTAGTGCATAAAGGAGGGTGCAGGGATTAACCTCAGGAATTTTCTGGATGAGGAAGACTCAGCAGAAAGGATTTGTTTGCTGGTCAGAGCAGCATTTGCTGAATTCTCACCTCACACAGCACCAATAACTACAGTAGAAACCACCAGTTTCTTCTTGGATTTCTGAGTTGCACTAGTGACTCCATTTGGAATGAATCTACGCTTAGACGGGTCTGCTTGCTCAGGTATCTCTGTCCTGCCTCAAAAAGCAATGAAGCTCCGCATACAGTGTGTGGTCCTCTTCTGAAACTCCTGCCTTCTCAGAACATGAACCAAGTTAAAAGCTTGCCTCTTGCCTTCACCTTGACACCAGCAGGAGTGTAACTCTAATATTTATTAGTTGATGAATTTATTAACTTCTTTGAATACATTGTAAGCAGAATATTAACTCTAGTGATTAAATCAAAGTTGTGCCCCACCCTTGAAGACACTGAAGGTTAGGCTGGACAGGGTTCTGAGCAACCTGATCTAGCTGAAGGTGTCCCTGTTCATTGCAGGGCAGTTGGACCAGATGGTCTTCAAAGGTCCCTTCCAACTCAAACATCAATCACTGATTTTATGAATAAAGAAACTGACCACAGAGAATGGATATAAGGGGAACTAACACACCCAAGATAGCAAAAAAAAAAAAACCCCAACAAAACAAAAACAAACAAACAAAAAAAAACAAAATAAAAGAAGGAAAAAGTCCTTCTAAAATATAAAACTAAGAAGATATATCAGAAGATACATTAAGCTAGAATTTCTATAGTCACATGAATTTAAGGCAACTCATAATACAACACTGAAGATAACTCAGCTTGAGCACATGAGAAACTGAATGGTGCTGCTTTCAGCAGTACGTCTGCTGTTCGCTTTGACAGCTACCATGTTTTCTGTGGATCGAGGAGCACACCAGCCACATCTCAGGGGTGGCTGAGAAAACATCAGATTGGAAAGAGATGAACTCAACAAGAAGCTGTTCTGCCCATTTGGAACTGGAGGATTTCTGCATGCATGGAAAGCTCCTCTGACCCTGTAACTTCTGCCAGCAACCTCTCAGACATGTCCCACACTGAGACCATAACTCTGCCCTGCAAAATTCTTGCCATCTTCTAAAACAGATATAAAATAAAATACAGTGCTACCAATTTAGTACTCATTTTTGCAAAGAACACCTTGCCCAAGGCCTAAGTCCTACTTTAAGAACACAAACCCTTTATTGGATGTAGTCTACATTTGTGCTTTTGTAGATCAGGCATCTACAAATTAATAGGAATTTAACAACCATCTTGATTCCGACAGATTTATAAGAAAATATATTTGCTGCTACTCTGTGGATTTTTTGAAAACGTGCTTTGTATTTCTTAAGTGGCAGAAATAGATGAAATGTTACACTGTTTACACATCAGTTCTGAATGTGACCACCACATCAACCAAAAGCAGGGTTTGACGCTGTAATGAAGTCTTAGAATGATGTCCTTTGCATTTACTCTGTGTGTTTATGCTTGCTGAACGTCTGACCTTTGTGAGGATCTACCTGATACATGGTGAATAAGGATACACAAAAAACTTCTCTCCATCCAAATGCCTTCTGTCACTGGCCATGTGAACACTGAAAATGAGATTCTAGCTACAAGAATTCAAAAACAGGAATTTATTTATTTATTTATTTATTTATTTGAGTACCTGAATGTGCTTTATGTGCTGTTTTCTTTCATTTTGCAAACTTCTCAGAGAAGATAAGCTCTTGAAGGACAATTAGCTAAAGCTAATTAACAACAGCTTGAAAAGTAATCCAGGTTAAAATTTCTGCCAAGTAGACTCTTCCCCCAGAGGAGTTTTATCTTGTGAGATATAGAAACAATAACATGAGGGATAAAACTTTGCAGTGTATTTCACACCAGTCTTGGAGTAACTTTGCTATTATTTCCTATTCTATTAATCATTTTGTAGGCATGTACACGCTTTCAAGGGCCAAGCAAATGCAAATGTGGTATTGGACTAAAAACTGCCATATTATTTTGGAAAAGCATTTCTTTTGTAATGTTTTTCAAGGCAGACAGCACTGATCCCTTCTGCTTCTCCTAAGACAAAAAGTCAATATGTGATAGTTAATAACGTCACCATCCCCTACAGTATTGAGTGACACAATTCAAGCATTGGCCTCTAACTTCTAAGATGGCAGGAACAGTTGCTGACAAAATTAATCAATTCCTCCTTTGAGGAAACAACTCCTCTACCATCAGCAACCCTCTGCTTTTTTCTTTCATTTGGACAAAATAGTTGGCATTAGAAGAAAAGGATAGGGATAAAGGATGTAAAAGCTCAAAACTGTTGATTAACAAAATGAATGTAAAAGAACAAAATGTTGATTAATAAAATGAATTTTTGGTGAACTACTGGTGATGGGTGGATGGTTGGACTGGATGATCTTGTGGGTCTTTTCCAACCTTGCTGATTCTATGATTCTATGATGAATTTATCCAAAATAGGCCCAAAATTAGTCCTCCTAAAGGTAAGCTATAAAGTGTGCAGCAGATCCTGAAAGCTTTCCCTAAAAGTCACAAATCCAGCATGAAAAACTCTCCATTACAACCTGCATACACAAACACTGTGAAAATAAGACTACATGATACCGTATTAAAAATGCAGCTCAGAATTGAGAATGTGAGAATACAGATGATGAAATGGGAAATGGCAAGTTCTATTTGTAAATTTTGCTTAGTGCCAACGGATTCTGGTGTGATTCATTAACGTGTCTGTGGTAAAATCATCATCATATTAATAAAATAAAAAAATCCCCAATTTCATTATCAATGCTTTCCACCTTTTTTTTCAGAAGGAAATCACAATATCCCGAAGAGTAACACTAAGAACAAAATCTGAAAAAAATAAAAGTGCTTAGAATCATAGTACTGCTCAGGTTGGAAGAGACCTTCAAGATCATCAAGTCCAACTGCAACCTAGCCATACTACCTTGGAGTACTTAAGACAATCTCTCTGTAAATCACTTAGGTTAATTTTCAAATCAGTAACATTATTTTCAAGTTTGTAGCTGGTACTATCAGATTGTATGTATAGTAATGCACATCACATTTGTCTATAACACATGATAGCTATTTATCCACTGTGACAACATGCTGTCCGTCTGAATTCATGTTCTGTGCCCCAGTTATCTGTCTTCTGGGACGGCAGAAGAGGCTGATAGCCTCCTCCCTTTTTTAATTAAGAGAAGGATTTTGGGGAACTTCAGCTTTTGAAAAAGAAACCTTAAAAGTCTGATTAGAGGCAGGTGAATAATGAAACCATCAGGTGCCTTCTAGTACCCCACAACAAACAAAAAACACAATTAAAAATGTATTTCAAGTATCAATCAAATATGATAATAAAAGAAAAAAAAAACTTAATTTCCAAGTACTTTGCAAAATTAGTAAGTTTTGTCCAAGAAACTAAGTTTCTTGGGATGTATATTTGCTTTCTGAAGCAAACAATCAAACAGTTATTTTTAGTTAAATAATTGTTTAGGTTGTCTCCTCTTCTCTCTGTAGAAGTGTGAATACCTTTGCAATACTCTATTTCAAGCCTCTTTGCTTTACTGAGAAGTCTTCAGAGCAGTCTTAAATTTCAACCACTGATTGAAAGATGCTCATTCTCAGTATTTGATTTGGAGAAAACACCCAACCCCTTCACCCAACCCCTTCTTTAACGTGGTTAGAAGAAGAAAAAAAACAGCACAATCATTTTTTACATAGCAACGTCAGTTAAGTCTTGAACAACTCTGGCTTTTGAATCTTACTGGTTTATACTCACCATCACTTGAACTGTAATATGTTCTTCTCTAAAAGCTTTATTATTGATATAGAATCAACTGTAGACATACACAAATCTTTCATTTAAAAACCAACTGTACATCAAGAACGACTTATGAGTGTTTTTTTGGGGGAATATATTAAAATCACAACACACTGCAGCTCACTCCTGAAACAAATGAGTATTTATAGCTAGGAATTCAGACAAATATATTGCTTCATGTCAAAATAACTATAGCATTCACTCAAAAATGACAAACTTGACTTACCATTTTTTGTCTCGGAAGAGGTTTTGACACTATGAAAATGTTTCAGAAAGACTGCAGCTCTCTAAAGAAAACTCATATAAAACAGCAATTTCCCTCATTACTTGCTGTTTTCAAGATCTGTAATTTCCCAGAAATACTTACTTTCAGAAGAACAACTTTGTGATTTTTCTTTAAGGTGTGAGGCTTCTTTGGACTCACACATCATAGTGACTTTGGGACCACCCAGCTGGGCACCTGCCTGGGGACGCTTGGCCCTTCCATACTCACAGAGAGCACCAGGGAGATACAATGAGACTCATCCAGAATAAAAGTAAGAATAAACACTTCATTCACTGCTTGTTTGAGCTGTTTTACACTGCTATGTTGAGAAAATGAAGGTTTTTTGGAATTATGATATTCAGTATCAAGAAAACCATTAGAAAAATAAAAATTAGGTGAAGATTCTATGCTGAACACAACAAGCTGGCACTTACTTTGCTTTTGCTTCTGCATCTTCATAGGCTTTATTGGAAACGTCATCTAGGCCACCAATCAGATGTTTGAAGGAGCTGTGAAAAGAAATAAATGTGCATTTTTGGTAAGAGAACGATGTCCATCTGGAGGGAGCCATACAAGCCAATGTTGCTCTTCAGCAGCAACCAGGGGGTGCCCCTTGATGACCCTGGATAATAACCATGAATGTCCAAACTTTTTTATCCAGCTTTTTTAGAGACTGAACCCAATCCCTAACAAGTTTCACAGTAAATCTGGCATTGTCAATTTGGCTGATAAGTCCCATGAAGTTGAAGTGCCACTATTGTACCCTGCTCTCCAACCAGAAACCCAAGAAATCCCTGTTTTTGAAGTGAGAGATAATCTTTACTTCAATACCTAAGCCTTCTCAGTGTAAGAGAAGCAGCAACCAAAAAACAGAAGGGAAAAATAAAAAGAGGGGGAAAAAAAAAAAACCAACAAAAAAAGCAGAGAAGAAAAAGAAAGCAAGGCAGAAAGATAAGCAAATAATCATAAGCTGGATTGCTTAACAAGATTTGGCTTTAATTAGGCTAAACATTGAGTGAGAGAGGATGAAACAACAGGAGTGCCTGATACAATCAGCACTCCTGAGCCATTCCTGGTACAAGCTAGCAGTAGTTTGAGCAGTCCCCTAACACCATCCGCTGCCCCAGGGGAGGTGCAAAAGGCATAAACATATGGGAAAAAGACTTAGAAAATCTTTTTATATCATGAGTGACTCAAACAAATGGACCCGATGACCAGTCAATCAACTAACAAGCATCGCTCCAGAGGAAAAACAATTAAAATGGTGACTGTTGTGTCTGTGTAAGTGATATTACACAGTGTCAGAAACTAAAAAAGGAATGCAAATTTGAATGTTTTAAATAATAACTGAAATCAATTAAAATCTGTAACTGAAAATTTGAGTGAAAATTATTCTTCCCTTCTACACTCTTGCATTATTTGCCAGTGCACGTGTGTCTCGCATGTGGTGTGACTTTAGTTTAAAGAATGAACTTGCAAAATGAGGAAAGAGCTAAGCTAATTTGGAAGGATGAGCTGCTCCCAGCTACAATGCCTTGTGACTAATCACAGCCTTAAGGCCACAAATTCAAAATGGAGGACCCCGCAGTTCTTTTCTACATGGTCCTGACCCTCCTGAGGTATAAACAGAAGAACAGAATCGCTTTTTAATCAAAAAGTTTTTTAAAAGTAACTTAAAAGTTGAAAAAAAAAAAACAGAAAAACAACATCTAGGGCCATATTTACACACACAGAAGAAAGAAGAAAATACTTCACATTGTCCTGTCTTATTAAAGAATTTCAGGACAAAAGAGAACTAATGCTTTTCATCAGTGATGAACACAGATGAAGGTAATAGTTTTCAGTTTGTTTGTATTTTTTTCCTCTAAAGATTTGGTTTCAGAATGCATGACATTTTAGGATAAGGATAGCCGTGAATCTCAGCTGTTAGTGAAAATATGATGATAAAATATTTTCATCCAGCGGATGCATTTGGCTTTAATAGAATGTATCTGTAGAAAACACTACATCCTGTGACATCGCATCCCCTTTGCCTTTAAGGGTGGTGAAGCTGTTTGGATCATGCTTTGCTGAATAATCTCAAACATGCTGCAAGTTCTTAAGTGGGAGCTTAAATGTCTTGCTGCATCAGGAGATGTCTGACCTTAGGAGAAGTAGTATGGTGTGTGCACTATGAGCAGAGGATACAATTTCCAGAAGAATGAAGTAAGGCTTAATTATTATCTGCTCTTGCTTTACAAATGGCAGCTGGAAAAAGCTGCATTTTAGCCATTATTGTAATAAACAAAAGACAACAGATCACAGCTGGGAGATCTATTTATACTGTTTGCATCTAGAGTTACATGCTGTAACAGGGCTTCCCACCGTGGCCTTTTGTGTAATTATAGTCAACACCGTTCTGAAAATATCCTGTACCCACACAAATTCCCTCATTGTGCAACCTTGCTTAAGTTGCAATATTAATTATGCAGTCCAGGGAATCGTTTATGCAGCACAGGGAAAGCTAAAAGAGCTCATTAACGAAAAGGAGAGGGAAAGGATCCCTTTGCTCTTCCATTGTGTTAGGATCTTCTAGCAAGGCAAAAGTTAAGCAGCTTGTATGCTTTGCTATTTGGATGTGTTATTAACCAGAGGATCTTTTCAATGCAAAATCCCTTACTCAGCAGTGAAAACACGAAAAATTCATCTCCAGGGTTTGACACAGCAAGGTCTGTTTGTCTAGAGATGAATATGAGTCAATGGATGAAGCCAAGCCCTTGCAAGGCAGCAGTGAAAGTAAAGCAAGACATAGATGTTAATGCTTCACAAACTGCTATTTAGGCAACTGAGCAACACTGTAATCCTCCTGGCATGCTACAAGGCATGACCTAAGGCTTCAAATGCAATTTAAAATAGCAAGGCTTGGGGTTGCTTTCATGTGGTTAAGAAAATGTGGTGGGGTTAGACATTCCTTTTTTTTTTTTTTTTTTTTGGCAATGTGAACAGATTTTTGTCTAGTGATAGACTACATAGGCAAAAAAGAAGTCACAGGAAGGAGTAACAACAGTCAGTTGTTATAATCTGTATACCCTCCAGTTTTTATTTGATTGTCCTGAACCAGATTTTGGATTGGGAGGGATTCTAAAGCCCGCTGGAGTCACTCTCTTATTGTCTGTCATCTTGGTTGTAACATCCCCAAGACTTTCATCAGAGAACTGCTCAGTTTTTCTCTGCACAGCCTTCTCTTTTCATTTTTTTTTTTCCATTCTCTCCTCATAACCAATTTTCTCCATGGATAAATCTCACCCCAACTGGGAAAAATAGTAAAGCATCAGAAATGAATATCTCCAACGAAAGCGTTCAGCTTAGCTTGTGTAAGGTCAGTCATGCTAGGATAATACCTTTTTTTTTTCTTCTCTGATTTCCTTTGCCGAGAGATTTGACACAGTAACCTTTCTCAGCACCTTAGAGCGATCCCCTCACAAACCAAAAGAAGGCTTACAAATAAAGACAATACTGTAAAATCCAAACTGAAAATACCCAAAATATTTAAAAGGTTTCCTTAAAAATATCTGCCCCTAAATGAGCACATACAACTGAAGAAGATAGTAAGCAGAAAAAGATCATTTAGCACTCAATATCTGCAAATACCAGACAGTTCTGCAGCACTGCCAGCCTCTGTCAGGAGCAGCTGTGCCCTGAGTTTCAGCTCATCATTTGCATTGGGTAATTTTGTACTCCCAGCACCCACAACATTTACACCTTGGAAACCTCGGTGCTCCAGGAAAATATTGTTATCAACCTAAATAAGTTATACGGAGGAAAAAAAAAATCACATATGAATAAAAGATTAATCTGAATCATCACCTTCAGTGCAAATATTCTTACAGTTAAGAAGAACGCTATTCTAAATTCAGTATGTAGATGTAAAAAAAAAAGTTTAAAAAGCTGCACAAACTGCTCTCCTAGGGTGTCAATAATGATCAAAACTTTACAAACGTGTTTTGCAAGTTTTCTTCCTGCTTTAACTCCATGCAAAGCAGTCACAAGTGAAGTGTCTGTACGTGTTTATTCAAATTGAGTTACAAAACAGATGCTCAAGGCTGTCCCACGACATGGTTTTTATCAGATGCCTTTTGCAAAGCTTTAAAGCGTCTCTCACATTCTATCATATTCAAATTGCCAACTTTTCCCCAACCGGTCCATTCTACTTCTACAACAAACTTAATAACACATTCACAGAGCCCAAAAAATCACTAAAGACAAGTCACTTCAAGGCCAAGTTTGAAATACTTTGAAGTCAACCATGCTGTCCACTTCCCACCATTACTTTCTTCCTACAAGATAAATGACTGCAGTACCACAATAGTTAACTTGTAACCACCAGCTTCTGCTTTGTTTCACATAGGGCCTTAGCAGGTCAGGAATACAAGAAAAACCTATGGATTCTTAAAGAAAAGAAAAAAAAGAGTAAATGAGATCTGACAAAGAAAACTGTTATAAAATATTAATATGTTTACTGAGATCATATCTTCCATCAGCAGGAAATACTACTTGTGCAAAAAGCTTTCTAGTTCTTCATGCACATAATGGTTCCACAAATCACAAATAGTCAGAAACTGCGCTGAGTAGTCTGACAATTGCCATGAACAACACGTGGATTTTGCTGACGTTTTCAAGCTGATTTCCCAATTCCCACAGCTTCAGTGATGGCAAGAAGAGCACCTTTGCTGCTCCAGACAGATAGCCTGTCCAAATTCCTTACAAAGCTGTTAGCCTCTTACGGTCAGCTTTGCCACCACTGGCATCTGTTTGCCCTGTTGGGTTAATGGAACCTCTTCCTCCAGGACAGTGTGCACAGACATGCTGAAACCTGGAATATATTCTGAAATTCTGTGGAAATCTTTCTTAACTTTTACAAAGCTTGTTTTTTAAAATACACATGAACTGGTACAAATACGCTATTTTTTTTTTTATATGGCAAGAAGTAAACTCTTAACTCTTAACTCTTCAGTACCTAAAGGGAGCCTACAAACAGGAGGGAAACCAAGTCTTTGAAAAGGTAGATAACTGCAGGACAAGGGGAAATGGTTTGAAGTTGAGGAAAGGAAGATTTAGGTTGGATGTCAAGGGGAAGTTCTTTAGAATGAGAGTGGTGAGGTGCTGGAACAGCTGCCCAGAGAGGCTGTGGATGCCCCTTCCATCCCTGGAGGTGTTCAAGGCCAGATTGGATGGGGGCCCTGGGCAGCCTGGTCTGGTATTAAATGGGGAGGTTGGTGGCCCTGCATGTGGCAGGGGAGTTGGAGATTCATGATCCTTGAGGTCTTTTCCAACCCTGGCCATTCTGTGATTCTGTGATTAACACCATAGTGGAATCCGCCAATGGCAGAGGTTTGTAACTTCATGATCTTTAACCCAAACCTTTATATTATTCTATGCTAATGGACTGCCAGGTTTCTTGGGTGAACAAAATCAATGGTGTTCCCAGTGCAGCCACTACAGGGCAGGTCCTGCCTACAGCGCTGCCATCCTGTCTAGAGATTCCGCATCTGAAGCTCCTTTTGTTTTCTGTGCACTTTCTAAATACTGGCAGAATATCAATCTCAAACCAACTAGCGAATCTTCTACAGTCATTCCCCCCAAACAAACACGTAGATTATACTTTAATTCCCTATAAATCATTTCCTAAATATGTCACCTTTCTATGATGAAAGTTTCTGAGAAAGTTACTAAGAACATGGAAAGAATAAAAGGTGCTCTTGTTACCTGATCTCAGAGTCCCTTTTCTCTCCCACAATCTCTCTAACTACTATTTAGACTTTCTCTTTAAGCCTGATCAACAACATTCCACTATTACCAGCAATTATTTTTCCTTTTCTCTGGAAATTTATAGTCATTTAATACTGATGTAAGTCCAGACATCTCCATAGCCAAAATTTTTTTTCACATCTATCCTAATTATACCTTAACGTACCCGTTTCCAAACACATCCAGGTGTCTGTTCACCACTGTCCTGTTACTCTGTCCACAGCGCTTTTGACCCACACCAGGTATCTATGCTGGACACCTCTTTAATAGGTTGCAGCCTTTTGGAACCCTAGGAAACAAACTCCATGGTTCATTGCTCCTCTACCACATTTCTGTTATCTCTGTGCAAATGCAGCACCTTTACTCCTGAAACACAGCATGCCTTTCTGTTTTCAGGACAAGATGAAGATTCTCTCTGCTTACGAGGATTCCAGTTGCCTTCTCTGGCTCCATATACAATTCCTGGTTTTGCAGAATTCCCATAATGGTTGCAAAATCTTCCTTCTTTTACAGCCACAGACTGGATTTCTTCACTGCTTCCAGCTCTTAGCTGGAGCCAGGTTTCCTCCTTTCTTTCCCAGCTGCTCTAACTGCCTGCAACTTTTGAAGAATTGTGGTCTGTACAGAGACTTCTGATGTCTGACTGGTACCTGTAACTCTTCAGTCCCTCACACATCTTCTTCTCCACAGTTCCAAAACCAACCCAAACTCCATAATCACATTCCTATTTTTCCTCTTTCAGAAACCATACCATGAGATACATTGTTCATATACAGCTTTCAGCTCAACAATTACATTCTCTCACCTTCAATAATTTCTATTCCCTGAGTATACTCCATATATATTTCCCCTTTTTGCTATTAACTGTCATGCTGTTACGCTCTCTTCCTTATTACTTTATAAGCACATAGAATCACAGAATAACATGAGATGGAAGAGTCCATAAGGATCATTGAGTGCAACCTGATGACCACATAGGACCATACAAACCCAAATCCTATGTCTGAGAGCAGTGTCCCAATGTTCCTTGAGCATCATTTTAGCTTGATATATAGAGCATGAGAGTGCTGCTTCAGTAGTTACATTTGATTAAGCAAAGAGCTTGTCTTGTAATAGAAAATACTAAAAGACTGTAGTGACAAGCACCTCTCCTCGTTCTGTGCAGAACTTCTAACCATAATCAGTAAAGCTGACTCCCAGATTCCGCTGCTACTTTGCATATAACTCAGTGCAAACCTTTATGCTGACCACCACAACAAACCAAATGCCTTAATATTCAGTATATCTGGATATACAAAAATGCTATTTCCCTCATTAGCAGAACAGTGCCTGCACAATTTTCCAAATTTACGTAAGTCTTACTACATTTTCTCCATATTAAACTTAGCTTCTATGGTTATCTGCAAACCATGATACAATAGTGGAAGGGAAGAGCTATGACAAGAAAGTCAGAACTAGTCAAGACAGAGAACAGAGTTCCTTGAACTATAAATAGTGATATAAATAGCATTACATTTCTTGATCTATAAATAGTATTCTTATAAATAGTGTTACTCTGCTACTAATTGCTGAGCATTACTAGAATTCCTGGTGTAGATGAACTACAGCTTCATCAGTTAAATTTAACTTGTACTTCCTTACTATTTCAAGGTCATTGTATACAAAATAAAGGGGATATCAGACGAGGTCTGTAAAATACTCAGGAAGGATTAAATCTGGAATTACTTATTTTTTTAATTCATTTCTAAAATGCTTATGGTGGAAAAGAAAAATGACCCCCATAGAGGAATTCAGAAAAAATGTAGAAATAACTCTTTACTTTATATTTCTCTGAATTAATGTTTGCTACAATATCTAATTCTGCTGATTCATCTTATTGCCCACAGAATAACAAGGGATAATATGTATTTTATCTGCCAGGCTACCTTGCCTGTATATGTGGAAGAATGCCACTCAGCTGACAGTCCTGAAGTTCACCATTTGTTTTCAACAGCTAAACCATAATTTAATTGCTTGGCTTTTTTAAAAAATTGACAATAAGTGAACTAGCAGATTAGGAGATCTAAGATTTTTCAAGTACTCATCCTTTTTCTGTTATTTCAGAACATTACAACAAAGGTTTGGGATAAACGATAAGCAATAATTGAATATAAAACTCCTGCATTAGAAAGGATTGGGTGCATTTAGCTCATGCCTACCAGAGAACATGAAATGTATCTCCTATTAATCTTATCACACTACAAGAATGCCTCAGAAGTCACTTGTAACTCAGCAGCTGCCCTTTGACTTCATCTTACGTCAACTCCTTCTGTCTTCAAGACTTCAAGCATAGACCCAGCATTTGTATTTGTCTCAATACTCTTACGCCTCTCAGAGACTCTCTAGAGTCAGCAGTAGAGTTCCTGCATATTTAATAAATCCAGTGGATTTCTTTTCCTTTTGAACACTTGTAAGCTTCTCATTTTCCTATAGGGAGGAGCTCCATGAGCCACCCCGTGTGAAGAGCCATCTCCTTTTGGCTCTCACTTCCTTCCTGCACTTACCTCTGGGTTCTCACGCTTGGGGAGGCAGTGAGAAATTCATTTCATCACCGCTTTCCCAGAACAGAGTTTCAACCTACTTGCTTATTTTTCCAACAGAAGCCATTTTCTCCATCAATCATTTTTTCTACCCATCTCCAAACAACTTCTTGGTTTAACTTTTCATTTTGGAGGGAACAAGAACAACACAGTGTGTGAAGCACAGACAAACCATAGATTTACTTACGAAAAAAAAAAAAAATTCTATTAATGCCTAACAATAGATTTGTTGGTTTTGTTTTTTTTTTTTTAAATCACTGCTGAACTCTGAGCTGGTATTTTTTTGTGGCATTGTCCATTACAAAACCAGTCTTCCCTATGCAGCAATAAAAATCACAACTAACACTTTCCACTGTGAAGGTGGAAGATTTCTCTGTGCGATGGTGTATTCCAGTGCTTCATCACTGCCCTCATCATCGGAAAACCACCCCAAGAGTCACAGTGGATTTTCAAGGTAATGCTATTTTTTCACCAGTCTCAGCAGTCAACTTTGCAGCACTGTTTTCCTGAAGTGCAGGCAATTCTTGCCTAGATGAAAAAATGCCCAATTCCTCAATGTTTTCCATCTATAATAGGTAAAATGTTATTTTGCTCTTCTGATCTATCCTCTTGGAGTTGCAGAGCTTTAAGCAGGGCTAGATCCTACAGACAAGGGCTCTCCAACCCTACATGGTAAAGAATAACAACATGTTTTTCTAGCATTTGTCAGAAGATTTCTTTGGTTCATGATATTTTGCTGATGCTACCTCAATCTGCATACCGCCATAATGCTTGGATCTGTTTCCACTCTCTTCCTATTTATTTCCATTTTGTCATTCTGTACTTCTTAATTTTCTGTATTTGTCATCACTGAACTTCGACTTACTCATCTAGAGGAATGTTCTCTCTACTTTATCAAGGACATGTAATGTACTGTGAATATATTTTTCAAAATTAAATGACTTTACAGAAAATGATCAAAGGCTGCAGTTAAAACCTATAAGAAGTGTGAACTGGAGATGCACCCCACCACAAGACAGGAAGTTTATGTACTTACTCTCTGTCTATGACCAGACAAGTTACTGCTTCAGCCGCAATGACATTTGCAGTTCTGACATCCTCCCTGAAAGAAAAATATATTTCTTAAGCAAACTTTATACTTCTGGACGTACTTCATTCTAAACACTTCAAGAATAAAACTGAGGTTTTCACAACATTTTCCTTGGAAAGATGTTCTTCACCTGTACAGGAGTCAAGCATGTGAGAGCAAAAAAACATGCACGAGCAGAAAACCAGATGTAGGGTCCCCTTGTAAATAGGGCATCTAGCAACGTACTGGCCCACACCCTTTTGTTTGGCAAGGTCTTCTATCTTTCTGTATATGGAAACAGCTATAGAAATATTAGCTATTTGCATAGATGTGTTGATGAACTTCTACCTATGTCCTCCTCCCCCAAACCCTTCATTTTTTCTCCCCAGGCCATGGTTCAGAGGGCAATATCTCACAGTTGAAAGGTTAAGGAGGCAGTTAGGAAGGACACCAGAGGCACAATGTATCTTTATTATTAGATATTCAGTGTTTTCCCTTTTCCTGCCACACAATTTGGCCTTGGCCAGCCCAACCTACAAATCAATTTTAATCAGACCTATTTATCATGTTTTGAATGCCACTGCATTTTCTGCGCTGGCAAACCAGAATGCAGGAGTCAGAGTCACTGCTTTAACTCAAATCCACTCAAAATCTTTTCACCTATTAAATATAAAGGGATTACAGGCAAAATAGGTCCACCTCTTCTAAACACATCTAATTCATTTAGACTGGAAAACCACTGCTTATTTCCACTGAAGTAGAAAATGAGATTTAGAAATGCCATTGGGAAGAGCAGATCTCTTCTTCAAAGACTGAAAGTATTAAAGCAGCAGTGTGGTGAAAAGGAGAGTGGTGCATGTACACCCATACAGGAACAGGTACTCTGCCTTTAATTGTTAATTACATTTACTTTCATTGCTTTCAAGCTATCTTCAATTTAACTATCTTTAAGCTACCTTTAAAGCAGAGCAAGCAGAAATAAAATTGAAATAAATGTTAATGCTCAATCCAAAGCATTCTTTGAGATCACTTTCAATAAAAGTAAATGTGTTAGTGCTAATTTATCCATGCCAATAAACAAAATTATCACTTAAAACAAATTAAAGAAAGTAGACCAACAGCATTATAAAAATACTTATATTAACTTCTAAAACTTTGGTAAATATATAGAGGATAAGAAATTATAATATTTAATATTCTACTAAGTTGCTGTAGCCAACTTCTGCTCAGATATTAATGCATTATTAAATGAGGATGCAATGCTTTTGGTTGTGCATTAATTCCCACTAAAACTTCACGTAGATGTTCTGCTATCCTGGATGCCTTTCTATCACAAAGCATTTAGCGTTACGTATTCTCAGATTGCAGAGAAGTAAAACACAGGTGTTTACAGCTTCAGTTCAAGCGTTTAAATAAACTTCAACATTAAAGATTAAAATACACAAATAACTGTTATGGTTTCCACTGCATTGTACCTGATTTGTGTGTTTAATCAGCATGAAATTAGTGTGGAATGAAGGCTCTTCTCCAAAGGACACTTTACTTCACAAACAGAGATGTAAAGGCTTTTATAATGCAGAAAGTCATGCAGTTCTAAGGCTTCCTTATGTTTTGCACAAGCAGAAATAACTGATAAGTTAGGGGAAAAAATGTTTTCTTTTTTTTTTATGAATTATATAGTGCTTCATACACAAAATATTAAGTCAAGAAATAAGCACCTCTGAATACCCTGAAGCACTGCATGCTTAAGGGTGAGCTGCTGGGACATGGTTTGCACACCCAACAGCCCTAAAACCCCCCATTCCAGCACTTTTCAAGGGGAATAATGAAATTGCAAACGCGGGGAGAAAGCATTAATCCAAAAGGGATGCTCTGAGGTCCTCCTTCTGTGCTACAAAACCTCCCTGTGCCTCCAACAGGGACATTCTTCCTGCAGAAAATGGCATTTTGCTCCTTCTGTGGGAGCAGGGAGGAAGGCAGAGGTGCCATTGGCAGCAAGGTCAGCTCAGCAAAAGGACTGACAGCCAACATTGAGTTTTGGTGGTCTGTCACCACTGGTAGCATGGCTGCGTTCCACCACCACAGTGCCAATGCCTTCCTATCACCTGCTCCAGGGAAAATCGTTGTCACAAGGTGGAGATGGGTCACAAAAGTACCAGGTCTCAGGATCTCCTGTGTTGCTGAGCAGCCTTGTTCCCCCATTCTAAATTGATTTTAAGTGGTTATATAAACTTGGCAAGCTCTTGCTATTATGGGGGTTTTCCCACCATGCAGAATTACAAATCTAACCATGTTTCCAGAAACAGGAGGATAAACCAGAAGAAAAAGGCCAATGCATTTTCAGCTCTACATATAAATCTTTTACACACACCAGCTGCGAAATACAAGAATGAGTTTTAAACACTGCCTGATCTTGCTGTACCTTTAAAGATTGCAAATACATCCAGAGACATGCAACTCACCTACACATTAACCTCAACTACCTTGCAGCAAAACAAATGGTCAGTACACATTTTAAAGGTCATGTTACAAAAGCTGTGGCACAGGGCATTAAGTGCAATAAATAGTTATGTGAATTACACGGCATTATATGCAACAAGCAAGCATTGGAAAGCTCTGCTTGCGAGCACTGACTCGGATACTTTCTCGGCTTCATCACACGAGTACTCATCACTGCTCCCAGAGAAATAGCGCTCTTTGTCAGAGCAGTCGCTCTCACTGTCCGAATAACCCATGGCTGATGCTTGCCTTCACCATCTCCTCCCAGGAAATGCCTGCTGGCTTCCAGCTAGTTCTCCTGTTTTTTCCTCCAGGCGCGCTCCGGTATTTCACAGCCCCTCCAGCCTCAAACCTCTTTACTTGGCGAAAGGTCACTGCTGCTTGGGGGGAAATGCAAGCAGTGGAATTTGGAGCGGGCACAGTAGGATACCAGTCACCACGCTGCTTTAACTGCCACATGTAACCCCATGGGAGAATCAGGGTAATGCAGCACCTCTTGCAACGCAGCATGTCTCGTGGCTGTTCGCAGTGGCACTATCTAGTTACATAACAATTTGGTATCTTCATTCCCGAAGATCACTGGCATTCTCCCTCCAGCCTTATGAAATTGTAACAGTGCATTATTTAGCAGAAAACATACATAAATATTTCCTAGTTACAATTTGTTGCTGCAAAGATCTCAGGAAATTTCAACCATTTTCACCCTGATAAGCTTTCAGCAGGTTAATTTAAGAGCTGTGGTTTTGTTGACAGTTCCCAGGAAAGGCTTCTGATACAAACCTAGTGATACACCGTATTTATATAGCTGTGTTGGAAAACAGGAGAACACAGGCAGCCTGGATCTGAGAGAAGGTCCCATGGCAGCCCCTGTTGTAATTCTATCTACTTTGACTGTAAAAATGTAACTTAGATTTTAAGATCTTGGAGATGGTTGCCATCTTTTGGCTTTCTGAATCCGAGCCCTGTTCCAGCCCTCACATCCTGCCACACACTGCCCCTTGATAACATCAACACAATCCTTCATATGAACAGAAACCACAGTTTAGATGATTCCATTCAGCAAATGTTATCATATTGGCTTGAAACTTATTCCTCCAACCAATGGAATCACTATTAATATTTCCAAAACATGGACCGAAAGGTGCGAGCTGAGTCCTTTTTTGAGGCTTTTTTAGGAGGTGTGAGCATACAGACTCAGGAAATGTCAAATTTGGAGCTGAGCCTCTTTTGCTTTCCCCTGGGTAGCATTTTGCCTGGCAAAATTGATGGCAAGTTAAAATACAGAAGAGATGTGTTGAAGTCTTTAGGTAGGCAAAACCCACTCCTTAAAGGACAGAGCTAGGACTTGCTTCTCAGAAGATCACCAAATTTAGGTAGTTCTTAGAATACCCAGTGAAGGTAGTTTTTACCTCCAATGTGAAAGTGAGGATGCAATCAGAAAATACCCAACAAAGTAGTAAGAGGAGATAGAGATGCTGGTTTATGAGCTGCTTACTCTGAAATTCAAGTTGTTAACCAATTTTTCCCATAACACTTTTTTCCTCTCACTCCAATCATGTCTTGTCCTAAAAACCTTAAATCAAGCTTATTAAAAATGCTGTAACGAGATCAAGTGTGCAGCGCTGGGAAGTGGGAAAATGCACCAAGGAATTCGAATATCAGCAAACTGGGGATCTGCAAGCAGCTTCCCTGCAGCAAAATTAGACCAGGAAAGGTCTCATTTTTTCTTCCAATCTTTTCTTCAAAAACCCTCTTTAAGATCAATTTCTAGCTAATTTAAACAATCTGAAGTCTCATTTCCAGAAGTCTCATAGGACATGAGCTTTCTACCAGAGCCCTTTCTGATTTGGCAGTGGTTTTGGCAAGGCCACCACCAAGGGCCACGTGCTGAGCCACCTCCCCTTAGGGTTTGGTCCTTTAGTCATTGTGTCAAAGAAGAATGGGTTGTCACTGGCATTTTTAGAGGAAGAAAAAAGAAACAACAACAACAAAATGTTATATTATTACAGCCAAGAGCCCAGTGGCAGGCTATAAACCCAGTGGCCTCTATAGAAAAGTTGAGCCCTGGCAAAAATTTCCCACCACAGCCCTGAACAAGCCATTTCACTACTCTATATCTAAGTGCCACATAAAAATGAGAAAAATTAATTTGATTTATGAACATTTCTACAGGCAGAAGAAATTATAGAAAACACATCTGCTGTTACAGGCACTGTAATCTGACATAGCGAAGCTGCTGAATTAATGAGTGTTACATTATCAAGACACCTTTGCCCATATCAAGAGCAATAATGCAGATAAATATAGCTAAAAATAGTACTAATTATAGTAGAGGCATTGTGACAGGCAATGTTCATGCAAAACACCTTCCTTTACAGCCTGATTACCTTGCAATGGAAAGCTCATAGGTATCTTTTTGTTATCATCACCCACCTTAAACTGCAATTACATCCTGCATCCTCTGCAATACAATTTGCACAACATGGTTCAGCAGTTGCAATTAATTCAAGCTAGTTCCTGGGAAGCTCAGTAAT